GTGCCTTCGATGATTTAGCATACTGCATATAGAGTGATGTAATAAGTGCCTTCGATGATTTAGCATACTGCATATAGAGTGATGTAATAAGTGCCTTCGATGATTTAGCATACTGCATATAGTGTGATGTTAAAAGTGCCTTCGATGATTTAGCATACTGCATATAGAGCGATGTAATAAATGCCTTCGATGATTTAGCATACTGCATATAGAGTGATGTAATAAGTGCCTTCGATGATTTAGCATACTGCATATAGAGTGATGTAATAAATGCCTTCGATGATTTAGCTTACTGCATATAGAGTGATATAATAAGTGCCTTCGATGATTTAGCATACTGCATATAGAGTGATGTAATAAGTGCCTTTGATGATTTAGCATACTGCATATAGAGCGGTGTAATAAGTGCCTTTGATGATTTAGCATACTGCATATAGAGTGATGTAATATGTGCCTTCGATGATTTAGCATACTGCATATAGAGTGATGTAATATGTGTCTTCGATGATTTAGCATACTGCATATAGAGCGATGTAATAAGTGCCTTCGATGATTTAGCATACTGCATATAGAGTGATGTAATAAGTGCCTTCGATGATTTAGCATACTGCATATAGAGTGATGTAATAAGTGCCTTTGATGATTTAGCATACTGCATATAGAGCGGTGTAATAAGTGCCTTTGATGATTTAGCATACTGCATATAGAGTGATGTAATATGTGCCTTCGATGATTTAGCATACTGCATATAGAGTGATGTAATATGTGTCTTCGATGATTTAGCATACTGCATATAGAGCGATGTAATAAGTGCCTTCGATGATTTAGCATACTGCATATAGAGTGATGTAATAAGTGCCTTCGATGATTTAGCATACTACATATAGAGTTCAGCTGCTTAGTGCGTTGCAATTATTGCCATAAACGGTTTTGCATACTGCATTCAAGACACACTCCACAAGACCCTATGACATGAGGGATGACTTCAACTTTCCCTTCATGTCGAGCTCTATTCTGGCAGCTCCAGCCTTTGGTGTTTACATTTCACAACTTTTGGGATATAATCGAGCATGTTCTTGCTACCATGATGTCAAAGAGTGTCATACGACTCTTGCTCTGAAGATGTTTGATCAAGGTTACAACATTCAAGGCCTCAGTAAAGCTTTCAAAAGGGTTATGGTAGACATGTGGAGGACATTTCCAAATTTGACGCATCAGTGACAAAAATGATGTCCGATGCAATTCCCTTTTTTGACTCGTACCTTATGTTCCCGTGTTTTTTCAGGTGAACAGTTGACTTGCCTTTGCATGTGTTTGGGATACGCTCACTTTTTCGCGAACACCTGGTATCATGATTATTTGAAAGTGATTCATAAACACATGCACATGATATAGCCGGAATCGTAAAACCGACTCTGCTTTATGCAGAGATTTCTATTGGATATGGAAAGGGTTTTGTCGCTATATTTACATGGTTTAGTATAGTCCATATAGCGATGGGATCAGTGCAGTAGATGGTTTAGCATACTGCATGTAGCGATTTGATTTGTGCCTAACATGGTTTATTATGCTACATATAGCGTTGTGATAAGTGTCATATACGGTTTAACATACTGCACATAGTGATGTGATTATTGTCTAACATGGTTAAGCGTACTATACGTATAGCGATGGGATCAGTGCCTCAGATGGGTTACCATACGTTATATAGCTATAGGATTAGTGCCTCAGTTGATTTAGTATACTGCAAATAGCAATGGGTGTATTGCCTCACATGCTTTTTAGCGTACTGCATATAGCGATTTGATTAGTGCGTCACGTGGTTTAACGTACTGCATACAGTGTTGTGACTATTGCCTAACATGGTTTGGCATACTAAGGCGGTTAAGCCTGGAGCAGATAGCGGAAGCGCCGGTGCCGAAGGAATTTGAGCATACAATTGTTAGCGATTGATATGGTTACCAGGCCAGCTAAACACGCTGAATACAAAGGGCTTGAGCATCCCGCAGCAGTTAAGGGTGGCACTGGCGATCAAGGCAGTTGAGTATATCAGTGTGAAGGTTGGCACTAGCGATCAAGGCAGTTGAGTATATCAGTGTAAAGGGTGGCACTAGCGATCAAGGCAGTTGAGTATATCAGTGTAAAGGGTGGCACTAGCGATCAAGGCAGTTGAGTATATCAGTGTTAAGTCGATTGAACAAATCGCAGACAATAGTGCCGCTAGTGACCAAGGTTCAGCATTCAGATCGATGTCGGTAGATGCCCCACTGATGGGACGTGTGGATGCCCTGGAGTGATGTTGCCTAGTAGCATAATGATTGCGGCAACCCCCCCCCCCCCCCCCCCCCCCCCCCACGCATCACGCATGGTGGAAACACGACACCCAGGCACATGTTTATCTCCGGTGTCGCTTTTTTTAAAAATCTTCAGTCGTGTGTACCCTTCCACTTAGGTGGTTGAGCATACACTATGGAACATGTGTCATTCTCTTTCGCCATCTCTTCAATATTCACGTCCACCATTATTGTTGTATAGATAGATGCATATCTATAATATAGATCTTATCGATTAACCATGTCTATACGTGAGGTGAGGTGACAATGGGGAGGGGATGGGTAGGGTTGGGGGAGGTTGTGTGTGTGTGTGTATGTATGTGTGCGTGCGCGTGCGTGCGTGCATGCGTGTGTGTGTGTGTGCGTGCGTGCGTGCGTGCATGCGTTAGTGTGTGTGTGTGTGTGTGTGTGTGTGCGTGCGTGCGTGCGTGCGTGCGTGCGTGCGTGTGTGTGTGTGTGTGTGTGTGTGTGTGTGTGTGTGTGTGTGTGTGTGTGTGTCCGGGGGAGGTGTTCAAATCGCGTTTAAGATTAATTCACACACATGGCGACGCCCATGCACGTATGTGTGAGTGGTTGCTTGTACTTTATCGAACTCATGCCGGTTTGACACAGTATACTGACTCCGAGCCGACCAGTCCTTGTTTTAGCCCCTTAATGCCGAGAACCAGGCAGGATAACAACAAGTACCATCTTTTAACGTCTTTTTAGTATGACGCGGCGGGAAAAAACCCCTTATCTATAAGTATATATTACAGCTACATGTAATGACATATGTGTCGATTCAGGTATGTCCTAAATCTTGCACCAGCTGCCCAGTGCAGACACGCCAGCTTGCTGGGTCTGCCCACCTTAAAGGTGCAAGACCAGAATATAATTGGGAAAGGTTACATATGTTGATAAAGAAACAATCGTTGATATTTATACAGTAAAATAAGGCAATACACAACCTTTAAACACCATCACTGTGTTGTGTACACGATCTTCGGCACGCTCCCTATAGTGACGTGTCGTTTTCTGCATACCTTAAACCGCATTTGACTCATAGTGTCATGCGTTTAATTAGAACTTGCTACTTACGCAAAGAGACCACGTCTTGCACATATATTTTGACATTTACTGTACTTTCTTGAGTTGTTGATGTTGTTGTCTGTTGTTTAACGCCTCACTCAGCAATATTCCTGCAATGATGGTCTGTAAATAATCAAGTCTGGACCAGACAAGCCAGTGATTAATATCATGAGCATCGATTAACGCAATTAAGATGCGATGACATACATCAACAAAGTCAGCGAACCTGACCACCCGATCCCGTTAGTCGTCTCTTACGACAAGCATGGGTTGATGAAGACCTGTTCTTCACGGGTGACTTTCTTCAGAGATCTATTATTAGAATAATGTGAATGGTGGTTCTAGGAGGGTAATCGTTTGTAAAATACATCTGGGTCACAGAACTAGGTGATGAAGATAGTGTTTCGACATTTCGTCTCCAGATAAAATATATAAAGGAACAAATGCAACTCAGTTAGTGGCCCTTAATGATCGGGCTTAGCTGGTATGTCACGTGACGGCAAGACTTAAGTACCCGGATGGCTAAGTGGCACATAATCTTGACACAGTGCCAACTGATAGGAGAAATTTACGTACCTTAAATACCAGCATAAATCACTCGCTCACCTACCGAGGGTAAATCTCAGAGGCAATAACGCTGAATTGGTGTCAATATATTTACGAGAGAATTGCTAACAACATACTCAACCAGAGAGCCTGCACCGAACATGGCGTGCGGCATGCTGTGCCTTGAGTGTGCTTACTAGCGTTAACAGTACTTTGTGAATTGGTCGTATTTATATTAAATTTCAACTGTGTCATCAAAATATCTATCATATATTAAGAAAGTAATTTATGCATATATCAGTTCACCAGCATATTCAAACAAGGTTGTGGGAGCCTAGTGGCTTCGGCAGTAACTCGTCACGCCTAGGACCGGGTTCGATTCCTGACATGGATACAATGTGTGAAGACAGTTCTTGGTGTCCCCTGTCGAGATATTATTGAAATGTCGCAAGAGGCGCCCTCAATCTCTTCTCACTTACTCACTTACATAAGAAATCATCTCCCCGTATGTAAATCGTGAAATTTTAAATACATATTTGATAAACACTATTTTAAAAATGTTATGAATTTAATGTTGTGTATTGAATGAGATGAAGTGATCACTGCTGCAGTTGTGTGTTTTGTTTTATCCAAGATGGCGACGTTTCCGAGCAAAAATGTATATAACGAACAACGTATATAACGAACTGATTTCTCCGACCCCCTGTTCGTTATATCCGTGTCCTAATGTATCCTATTATTTGTCTACAGTTTTGTTCTGATACATATCGATATATCGGTTTGTCTGTCTACTTTCCTCTCTGTCTACACATTACTAACTCCCCTCTGTCTAACCCATGACTAGTTTCAACACGCTACACGCCATTTTTATAGATGTATTCTGATACAACCATTGCGTTGATTTAACCTTCGCGCGGTGTGACTAACGATTGTTTTCTGGATTATCATGACTGAACAGTGTGCCACAAGATTAAAATAAAACACGATGACAGCTTGAGAGTGGGGGAGAAGTAGGGGAGGGGTGTTATCGGGGATACACAACAAACATTGACTGACTATCAATATAGGGCGGGGGCTAAGGAGATTAGGTCCGCAGCAAACCTTGTCTCGCGCTGAGTAGGAGTCGGGGTCTCGTCTTACTCTTTGACGTTTGCTCAGAAACGCTGGATTTGAATTCGGGAAAAATTGTCTATCGTATTTTGATTCCGCTGCTGGTGAAGAATTGTACAAATTCAAGGAGTGATACAATTGTTCTTCTCAAAACCTTAACGATTCTTATGTTCTGCGTGAGGTGGTAGAACAGGATTTGAACCCCGGCCTGTCTGAATACCGAAAGACACCTGTTCTGTTCACCTTCACATTCATACAAATTCTGGGATATCAAGGTTGAATACCCATCGACTGGAGGTGTGTCATATAGAAGAGTAGTTGTCACTGTGCCTTGAGAAGAGAATTGTGTCGGGTACTGCTGCTGCTGCTGTTGCTGCCTCTCATCCGTTCTAAACCTTCAGGTGAGTTTATACGACAATGGATGTGGAATTTTTTGTCAACTCTGTTTTGTCACTTGATCCGTATGATCACAGAACCGTATGTTCAAAACTTTAAAAAAAATAAAGCCAAGCACTGTAGCTCACCTGGATATGTAGTCAACTGTTCATAATATCAGCATAATGTCAACAAAGACATTTCAGTCAGGTGAGCTAACAAGCGGCTGAAAAACTGAGTTCATTTTGTTTTACTTCTGACTTAGTAAACAGTTCTTATGTAAATAAAAGCGACAGAATCCATTCCATATCCAATAGAAATCTCTGCCAAAAGCAGAGTTCTTTGTACGATTCCGACTATGTCATAAGCATGTGTTTATGAATCACTATGGAATAGTAATGATACCAGGTGTATCGAAAAGGTGAGCGTATCCTGCCCCACCGGTGGCACCCGTCACAAACACACGCAAATGCAAGTCAGTTGTTCAGCCGGACAAAAAACACGGGAACATTCGGCACAAGCCAAAATAGGGAATTGCATTTTTGCCACTGATCTGGAGTTTATACGGATCTGAAAATGTCCTCCACGTGTGTACCATGAAACCTTTTGAAAGCCCCACTGAGGCCTTGAATGCAGTAACCCTGATCGAACAACTTCCGGGCAAGAGTTGCATGACGCTCTCTGAAATCTTGGTAGAAAGAGCATTTTCGAGGTACCTCAAAAACTGTGAAATGTAGACACAAGAGCTGCTGGAACACTGCTGGACTGGAAGGGAAAGGGGACTATTGGAAGGCTGTAGTCATCATTCTTGTCATACAGTGAGTGAGTGAGTGAGCGAGTATGGTTTTCTCCACTTTTAGCAATATTCCAGCAATGTCACGGCGGGGGACACCAGAAATGGGCTTCACACATTGTAAGCATGTCGGGAATCAAACCCGGGTCTTCGGCGTGACGAGCGAACGCTTTAACCACTAGGCTACCCGACCGCCTCCTTGTCATACAGCCTTGTGGAGAGTGTGTTGCCACTCTGAATCTTTAGGCAACAGAAATATGAAACAGATGAGGGGGTCTCACTGGTCTCCTTTAATTCTAGTTGTTGTTAAATCAGTGGAAGGGAATTGGCTATTTGATTGTTATTGAACTATATCAGATGATCGATATAACTGAAGTTTAAGTTAAACGTCTTGGCCAAATTACCTTGTCATGACTGTGCCAATCCGAGCAGCCATTTTGATTCATATACATAAAGAAACAGATCATATATTGGTGCCCATATGGATGCCTACTTCTTGCCTAAATGTCTTACCCCTATGTTTTACATAGATGTTATCAATGAGGAAGTCACGCTTTGCACAGATTATATTCTCAGTAAACTTCAAATGGCATTTGCTTTCATTTTTTACAAATTGTCCTGAGCCTCTGAATATAGATACGTAACTGTATCTGTGTTCACCACGTTTTGTCACAAAAGCCCCATTTATCAAGGAATGCAGGTTTTTCTTAAGTTTGTTTGTCAACAGTTCCTATGTAAATACAGGGCTGCTAGTCTTGTGTTGTGAGGTTCATTGCTTGACTTTGTAAACAGTGTTAAAGTTGAACAGAAACAACTGGATAAGAGTAGCTGTTTTTGATGGAACGTTGTGTTTGTTTACATTGTTTCTGTTCCAGTAAACACCATTGGGATATCCATAGAACAATTGATTTGTTAACTGTTTGTTTAGAAGCCAGATTAATGTTAATTAGTATTCATTTAGTATTAATTAGTGGGGCGGTCGGGTAGCCTAGTGGTTAAAGCGTTTGCTCGTTACGCCGAAGACCCGGGTTCGATTTCCGACATGGGTACAATGCGTTTCTGGTGTCCCCGCCGTGATATTGCTGGAACATTGCTAAAAGCGGCGTAAAACCATACTCACTCACTAGTATTAATTAGTATTTGAGAAGAGGTTGGTTCACATGCATTGTGCTTATACCAGAACATGGTCCTTCAGTTGCGGGGACACGGGTGGCCTCCCTTGGGCACACCCGAATCCTATGATTGTGGGTTCGAATCCCGGTTCGCCCCGATTATGTTTCTAGGTTTGTGAGACCCATACCCGTGCTTGTGTGTTTCGTCGAAGTGGTAAACGTCCAAGACCTACATCTCTTGGGGCTTTCCTTTCACATTAAGCTGACACGCCGTGATATGAATGGAATACTGTTAAAAGCGGCGTTAAACACAACTCACTCACTCACTCCTTCAGTTGCACGCTTTTACATTGAAGCTACGTATCAAGGACAACCAACTGAATCTTGAAATGACCTGTGTCAGATGACAGCGTGGAGTGCAAGGTATCAGCGAAGAGAACTGATGTGAAAGGTGTAGTTAGGGTCGTGAGACATTGGCTGTGTTATGAGACACCAGGATGTGTGATAGCTAGAGTGAGATGCCGAGTTGGAGATATAAAGAATGAGGTAACTAAGTGTGAGATACGAGAGTTTGTGGCTAACAGTGAGATACGAGAGTGTGTGGTTAACAGTGAGATACGAGAGTGTGTGGTTGAGTATGAGATACAAGAGTTTGTGGCTAACAGTGAGATACGAGAGTTTTTGGTTGAGTATGAGATACAAGAGTTTGTGGCTAACAGTGAGATACGAGAGTTTGTGGTTGAGTATGAGATACAAGAGTTTGTGGCTAACAGTGAGATACGAGAGTGTGTGGTTAACAGTGAGATACGAGAGTGTGTGGTTGAGTATGAGATACAAGAGTTTGTGGCTAACAGTGAGATACGAAAGTTTGTGGTTGAGTATGAGATACAAGAGTTTGTGGCTAACAGTGAGATACGAGAGTTTGTGGTCGCGTATGAGATACAAGAGTTTGTGGCTAACAGTGAGATACGAGAGTGTGTGGTTGAGTATGAGATACAAGAGTTTGTGGCTAACAGTGAGATACGAGAGTTTGTGGTTGAGTATGAGATACAAGAGTTTGTGGCTAACAGTGAGATACGAGAGTTTGTGGTTGAGTATGAGATACAAGAGTTTGTGGCTAACAGTGAGATACGAGAGTGTGTGGTTAACAGTGAGATACGAGAGTGTGTGGTTGAGTATGAGATACAAGAGTCTGTGGCTAACAGTGAGATACGAGAGTTTGTGGTTGAGTATAAGATACCGAGAGTGTGTGGTTGAGTATCAAATTTACAGATCACGTGTTCAGGGCGATACGTCTTCTTCTGACCGTCTGTGACATTATTTATGATATTCTATAAGCATTTAGCGGGTGGTGGGGTAGCCTAAAGGTTAAAGCGTTCGCTCGTCACGCCGAAAACCCGGGTTCGATTTCCGACACGGGTACAATGCGTTTCTGGTGTCCCCCGCCATTATACTGCTGGAATATTGCTAAAAGCGGCGTAAAAACCGTACTCACTCACTATCAGCATTTAGCAACATCACACTATACCTGCGATAGTCTATAAGCTTACAGCAACATCACACTATACCTCCGATATCCTATAAGCTTACAGCAACATCACACTATACCTCCGATATTCTATAAGCTTACAGCAACATCACACTATACCTGCGATATTCTATAAGCTTACAGCAACATCACACTATACCTGCGATATTCTATAAGCTTACAGCAACATCACACTATACCTGCGATAGTCTATAAGCTTACAGCAACATCACACTATACCTGCGATATTCTATAAGCTTACAGCAACATCACACTATACCTGCGATATTCTATAAGCTTACAGCAACATCACACTATACCTGCGATATTCTATAAGCTTACAGCAACATCACACTATACCTGCGATAGTCTATAAGCTTACAGCAACATCACACTATACCTGCGATATTCTATAAGCTTACAGCAACATCACACTATACCTGCGATATTCTATAAGCTTACAGCAACATCACACTATACCTGCGATATTCTATAAGCTTACAGCAACATCACACTATACCTGCGATATTCTATAAGCTTACAGCAACATCACACTATACCTGCGATATTCTATAAGCTTACAGCAACATCACACTATACCTGCGATAGTCTATAAGCTTACAGCAACATCACACTATACCTGCGATAGTCTATAAGCTTACAGCAACATCACACTTGAACGGGGATGGTAGGTGCTGTTTAGTATTGTTGGAGGATATTATTTATAATTTTTATTTTGAAGTTTTACCAAACCCTACAAGAAATATATATCCCACACACGTTCGATGTAATGTATAACCAACAAGACACACATTTCATATGTTCATGTCATCATTAAGGACAAATGGTACTGAGTATAGCATTATATAAATAGTATGCACTGTTTGTAAGACATGTGCATCTTAACTTCTATTATATGCTGTTCATGAAGCTGGTGTCCATTCATCACGAAGTTATTCAGTGATAATCCTCAGTTGCACTGTATATTGGCACTCGGCCTGTCTGGAACTACGTTGGTCCGGATGGGATGTTTCTGTAACAGATGTTCCAATCACGGGGATTCCTGGGGTTCTGGTGAGTAATGTCAGGGATGTTCCTGTAACGGGTGTTCTTCTCATGAATCAGCGATCGATGTTCCAGCAATGGGTGTTCCTGTCAGGGATGTTCCTGTAACGGGTGTTCTCATGAATCAGCGATCGATGTTCCAGCAATGGGTGTTCCTGTCAGGAATGTTCCTGTCACGGGTGTTCCTGTCAGGGATGTTCCTGTCACGTGCGTTCCTGTCACGGGTGTTCCTGTCAGGGATGTTCCTGTCACCGGTGTTCCAGCAGTGGGTGATCCTGTCACGGGTGTTCCTGTCACTGATATCTGCCCGGAGAGCGGAAGGTTGTGGGTTCGATTCCCGGCCGCATTAAAATATGGTACTTGTGGATATTCTGCCTGGCCCTCTGCATTAAGGGGCTAAAACAAGGACTGGTCGGCTCTGAGTCAATATACTGTGTCTGACCATAAGGCCATATTGTTTAACCTTCACTTGTGACTGATACGTATACGAATATACATTCAGACTGTGATTGGTCATATGGTTCTGAA